GGGGGGGGCTTCTTTTCAAAATGAATGCTGTAAATTTTCGGAATTAGTACTACAGTATAAAGAATAACTAGGGCCACTGTAACATTAATCTGTATCGTGGATTGTATTAACCGGCATTAAATCACCTAAACTATTGTATAAACCAAGCGTGTTTTCTATTTATTTTGTTTCTTTGAAATTCATGTACAGTGTGTGTACTGTAAGTATTTTGAAAAGAAACCCATGGGCTTCATTTCGAGGCTAATTTTGCAAACTCAGAGGGGGATGGGCTTCAATTCGCGATGGGCATCTTCTCAAAATTCAGCCCATTGGGCTTCAATTCGAGGTTTTACGTTACGATATAATACGCAAAGCCTCTCCTGGACACTCGGTTACTATTGACAATGAACCAAGACATTTCAAAAGGGGGACAAGGAAGGTATATCGATTCCAACCAAGTTAGAAAAAATGTAATTTTACTGGAGTACATTAATAGACTGTTTTAGATAGACTTATTTCTATACTGTACTGTTTGAATTATAAATATCTCAATATTCTCTGGCCTACAAAATACACACATAACTACTGTCATTTTGATATCTGCATAAATGCATTGAATAATAAATTTATATGGGGAAGCATAGTGATTTTTTTACGATGGTAAATATATTATTTGGAGAAAACGCATGGTAGAAAACACAGATAGGCCAAAATATATTTTGTTCTTTGCAGGTTTAGGTATTTCTAAAGACATGATTAGGGCCTACTTTTCCAAATCAGAATAATCGTCCAAAGGACGTGGAGTATGATGTGAGGCTCATGATTTTGGCGGTAATGTATCGCCGTGGAGAAATAAATTCGACAAAGCCGTTTCACTTTTGCTCTGCACTGGGTGGAAAACAGAAAGATGGCTGAATATTCACAGTTGCTTGAAAGAAGGAGGAAAGGCCTTCTTTATTGTGTCCTGGGGCCAATGTAGAAAACAAAGCGAATGCAAAAATAGCATGGCACTTAGCCAATGCATTTGGAAACTTCATACGATAATACAAAATATGAAATTAAAGGTAAAATATTAGCTAAATGCAAACCCTACTCATATCAGTTAACGATGTAATCTGTTGCTTGCTAAGAGAAATATTTTATTATATGTAACCCTGAATCTTGGAGAAGAATAATTAAGCTCACTTAACTGTACCGTATAGGAATTAATTGATTAATGCATGTAGGCATAGAGGGAAATTTGTATTTATATAAATACAAATTAGATACAATAACATCTAATTATATCACTGAATACTTAAATGACTTCGCTACTCATTTAATTTTCATTCACGCGAAGAAAAAACCCGCACACAGGGACTAGTTAAATTTTGCAAGGTTTGTACCACACGTTTTTCAGTACGTGTGCGTGTAAGCGCATGCCTATCGAATTTTATATGAATTTAGCGCAAAATATTTCAATGAAGGCAGAGGCCTACACAGCAATAGTAAAATAGTTAAGTCAACTTAGATTAACTGTTACGATTTGGGACGAAATGGCTCCAAACATTCTGAACAAAAACTGTAAATCCAATTCCTGGTTTGTTGTTTATTAAAACATTTGTGGAGAATAATTCAGTATAGGCCTACTCATCTTTGCATGAATATTTTTGCATGAAAACAAGCCATATATGAATAAACAATCATCGATATATGAATAAATCAATTAAATAAAATAATCATCTATGTATGAATAATGTCTGTGCCCCTGGTTCTTAATAGGCAGACCACTGGTACTATTCTTTTCCCCATACAATAAAGGCAGAAATTATAGAGGGCACTATTTAAGGTCATTTAGGTGAACTGATACATGAATATGCATAAATGGCCGCCAAAATTAAAATTATTAGATGTACAGTATATCATTCGGTTTTGTCAACATTTTTTAGTGGATTTGTCATCTCAGACCTAAAACATAGTAATATAA